ATACTAAGGTGACCTGGTGATTAATGTCGAGTTGGAGTAAAAAACTCAATTCTTTTTGTCAACAAACTGTTTTCCATTGTCAGTGATAATGGTATGTGGCAATGCATATTATCATATCACATTCTTCCAAGTGAATTTCTATACATTTTGTGTAGTGATCTTAGTAAGAGCTTTAGCTTCAATCCACTATGTGAAATAATTAACTTCCACAATCAAAAACTTAAGTTAGCCTTTTGCAATGGGAAAAGGATCAAGTATGTCCATCCCCCACCATGCAAAAGACCAAGGTGACTACATTTGATGGAGAGCTTCTAAAGGAACCCGATGTAAGTTGTTGAACTCTTGGCAAAATTTGCATTTTTGCACATAATCTTTACAATCTGACTTCATGGTTTAGCCAATAGTATCCAACTCAGATTACTCGCGCAACCATAGATCGAACACCAGAATGCATCCCACATATACCTTTGTGAATTTCCTCAACTACATAGTTTGCTTGATCTTTTGTTAGACATTTTAACAAAAGGGAGGAAATACGTCTTTTGAAGAGTTCACTTAATTCAATAACAAATTGGCATGACTTTGTCTTGATTTTCTTTGCTTCATCTTTATCGTTTAGGGGTATACCTTCCCAAAGATAATTTCATATGTTGATCATCCACCCTTTATCTTTTACTTCAGCTACCAAGATGAACTTGGCCTCAAAACTTGGTGAACTAATGATTTCATGGATTATGGTTTTATGTTGTCTAGGACGATTAGTATTGGCAAGCTTATATAGGAGGTTAACTATGGTATTTTGTTCCCTAGAATTGTGCTTAAATTTGAACTTGTCAAAATAAGAAATTGATTGGGATATTAAATGATAATACCTTTGAAGTTGAGGCTCTTTAATTTGGTAGACTCCATTGAGTTGCTCTACCATTAGTTTTGAATCACTATAGCATTTCACCTTGTTTGCTCTGATGTATTTTTCCAATCTCAAACTTGGTAGCAATGCTTCATATTTTTCCTAGTTGTTGGTGGATATGAACTCAAACTTGAGAGATTGTTCATGCATTATGTTGTTTGGTCCTTCTAAGATGACTCTAACCCCCTACTTTTAGTATTAGATAAACCATATACATATAAGATCCACCATTGTTCTAGTGATTCGAGTACCAAAGTGAGTTTGGTTACAAAATTTGCTAGACATTGGGCCTTCAAAGAACCTCGACATTCATATCGAATTCCATACTCGGGCAACTTAACAAACCATGTTATCATATGTCTTGCCAACTCTAGTTTTATGAGAATTTGCTTAATTGGATAATTTGTCTTAACAACAACTTGATGACTCTAAAAAATGGCCTAACCAAGAGGGGGATGGATTGGTTTATTAAAAATTTCTTGTTTAGCTATCTTACTTTTGAAAAACTTTTCTAAATCTTTTCAAAGAAGTGTGTTGATCTATAGCTTTTATATAAGATACTTGGTTCAAATTCAATGCAAGTCTAAATTCACTCAATTCTTAATGTAATATACATGCCTCACAACACATAACAACAAACATGAAAATAGAAATGCAAGAATGTAAAGTCAAGTATAGGGAGAGAGAAAAATGCACAGGAAATCTATATTGGTTTAGTCACTTCCACTTGTGACCTACATCCAGTCCCCAATTAACCCGATTGAGATTTTCTACTATTCTTTAATATCAAAAGTTTTACAATCATAATACCATATGTAATACACTTCTACAGTATTAAATAAATCATTTCTTAAACCCCAAGAAGCACCTACTTGTAGCACCTCACTACAATAAAAAAATTCTCCCTTCTTAAGAAACCTACTTAAGAAAATAATCAATACATAGATTTAAGGAACAAATTTACCTGATGTACAAAACATATCAGAGAAAGTGAATCAACCATGTAACTTAACCTTTCACTCCATCAAGATGATGATCAATTCAATTCTTGAAAACTTTCTTGAGGTTACCATAAAGGTTAAAAAAGCTTTTCTTGTAGAGAGGATTATATTTCAGAGAGTGTTTTTGTAAAAGATATCACAAATATTCAAGTCTCTCTATTCAAGATGTGAAAAATGATATATATATATATATATACACGTTTTTTGACTTAAATAATAGATTATTTACATAAATAATTGATTATTTTGTTCTTAGTAATTATGAAAATCAACCAAGAACACTTTAATCGATTATTTTGAGCAATAATCGATTATTCCAGAACCTTATTTCTAAAACAATTGATTATTTTATTGAATAATCGATTATTACAACAATTGCTCCTTAGGTAACAAAAAAATACAGTAAATAATCGATTATTACTTTAAATAATTGATTATTTTAAGTAAAAACTTAATATCTTGATTTTTCATATCATTTCTCTTTACAAATCAATTTCAACTTATATCTAAGTTATCAATGATCATCTAGATGGAGATAAAATACTAAGTTACTTATTAAGCACAAAGTACACAAGCAACAAAGCTTAAAACCTCATGAAACAAGATACAATTTGCACTTTTATTTAACAAGAGGCTCAAAACGCAAAATAAACTACAAGTTGCACTCTTATCTCTCAAAAGGCTTATTTGTAATCATCAAAACCAATTAGGATCATGTCTTCATCTTGAGCTTGATCAACACCAATGACCTTGCCCTCGTCCTTGGTAACCACCTCGATGCGATTGGCATCATTGGACATAATGACCAAGTTGTCCTACCTAAATCAACTATTCAATGCGATCTTTCAATGTCCATCATTCCTCTGTCATGTGACCATAGTTCCTATGGTAACAACAATGTTTGGATTTGTCCGCATTATTGGGATTATGTCTAGGTGGTGGTAGAGATATTAAATTTGCATTGTTAGGTTCTTCCAAAATGTTGACTCGAGGTGTATTTAATGGAGTATAGAAATCATACCTTGGACCTCGTCCTTGTGAGGTTTCTTAAATCAATCTTCTCTAGATACTTTCAGTATGTCCTTATGCCCAAAATCACCTCTAATAGATGTTCCTCCTTGAACTTTGTCTTTGAACTCGACATGTTCCTCCATTTCAATGTACCCATTCGCTCGTGCACGAAGTTCTTCCATATATTAGCATGTTGTCTACAACATAGACTATCTACAAACGATTATGGTTTGAGTGCCATAAGCATGAAATGTAGAGAAACCTCATAATTAAAGATATGAATCTTTATGGATATGCTTGCAAAGAATTCCATAAACTTCTTTAAGGACTTATCATCTCCTTGTCGTAGGTTGGCAAGGGTTGTCAAGGTGATATGATGAGCTCAGCTTGTAGTATATTGAGCGGTGAACCATTGCACCAAGGTTTCATAATTGTCAATAGATCTCGGTGGCAACTGGGTATACCAAATTAGTGTTGATCATTTCAATGAAGTAGGAAAAATACAACACATAAGAGCATCTTTATTTGTGAATAGATTCATCAGAGTGATGTAGGCATCTATGTGTTCGTTACAATCTGATGTCCCATCATAAGCTCAATGTTGAGTGGTTTCCAACCAAATGGAAAGGGTACTTCCATTATACCATTAACAAAAGGGTGTTGTCGAACTCCTAGATGGCCTTGATGGTGTTGGGATGGTGCGTGTGTAGCTTCATTCATAGATTGATGTGTATGTGCCAGAGAAGGAGAATCATGTTCCTACTCCTAATGATGATGACTTGCTTTATTTGGTGGATATTGTTGCTAAAGTTGGGCTCGGATATGCACGTTCTCGATGCATAGTGCATGAAGATCGACTTCATGCTTGCAACAAATAGTTTTTAAAGCTTTTGTGTTTTTCTAGCACATGAGTTTAACTTGTTCAAGAAAACGTCGAAGTGTTGTGTTGTCCTCTATTCTCAATGTACTTTGTTCTACTACTCCCGTCACACCACTGAAATGACTTCGAGTTGAAACTATAGGCAACCAAAGGAAAGTTTACTTCGACCCCACAGTGAACGCCAAAATGTTCGTAGTGGAAACAACTAGATTGATGAGATTGTCTAGTAAAATCTTTTTCTACTCTTACAACTTGATATCAGATGATATGGTCTTTGTTCCTTGCTCCAAGTGGGGGAGGAACCTATGGCCCATAGCGACATAGCGACACCCTTGTCACTAGTGTCACTATGGGCCATAGCGACACCCTTGTAAACCGTCTCAAAGGTGTAAATAGTTTCAAAACAGTCTCAGTTATATAAAATATTTTTAAAACGACCCTACAATGGTCAATTAACCTATGTTAAGTTGATAACATATACATCCAAGTTCATTTTAGCAAACTAACCTAGTATCATATATGACTGAGTTCCTATCCTTGATCAGGTTGGTACAGATCCAAAAAAACTAAAAATTAATAGAAAATCATAAATTAGTTGTTCAATCCGATTTTTAAATTTTCAAAATCTTTTGGTTTGATTTCATATTTGAATTGAAATTTAAAACTACTCCAAACCTAACTCATTTGTAAATATGTATTTTTCAAATACATGTATACAAAATTAATACATAAAATAAAATATATTTTATAAGTTACTAAAAAGTGTGTTTTACAAAAATTTAAATTACTAAAAAGTTTTTTCCTCTCTAAATATATATTATAATATTTAAGAAATATTTTATAAATTTATAAACTAATTAATTAAAATTATTATTTATTTATAACATTAAAAAATATTTCTTTAAGTGACAAACTATATATATACATGAAAAAAAAACTAATATGATAATTAAAATTGCATTAAATTAATTTTTTAAGAGGCAAAAATTGAACGAAAACAAATCACAAAAAGTTTTTAATTTAGATTTCATAATTCATTCTAACTAAATCCAACTTGATTTTCTTATTTAATTTAAATGATTTTTAATATAAAAATTAAATTAAATCACATCAAAAACTCATAATTTTTTTAACTTTTCACCTATTTTTTTTATAAGTTCTAAATTGTTTAAAATAGCAAGTAAATACACATTAACAATTACAGAAAATAAAGTTGTGACTAACCCATAATATGGTTTGGTAAGGTTGATAAATCCCCAAGACACACCTTAAACCCAGAGATATTTTTTTTTGATGATTAGATGTTGTTCGTGTTTTTCACATGCCCTAATTTAGTTGGCATCACTCGATCACTTGTCCAACAAGTTCTGTTCCCACCGCAAAATAAAATATTCTGGGGTTCTGTACAGTGCCAAAATTATTACTATTTTTTTTTTACCCTTAAGAAAAGGGAAATTAAAATTAAAATTAAACTAAAAAAAGTAAATTAAAAAAAAACACTGTTTCTTTTTTTCACTTTCTCTACTCCCTTTGATTCATTCATGTCATGTCCAGTTGGCTGATTCGAATCTCGAAACGACACAGTTTTTATCCTTATGCCTTCACTCGATGTTGCTAATTCCCATGCGCTTCACCACCGCGTTTCCAATGGCTTCGGTGTGCATTCGGAGTCCATTCTGTTCAATTCCCGAGAAGTAACTTCTCACTTCCTTCCTTACTATCTCTTGCATCACGCTCCAAAACTCAGAGTTGAACAATTGCTTTCCCCGCTCCTCCACCGTGGCCGCCGCAGGAGGCACCGGCACTGGCACTGGCACCGGCAGCACCAGTGACGGCGATGGTGCTAACGCTATAGGCCTGGACCCGAACCCGGGAAGAGACAAACTGAGCGACGTGGCTGGATCGGAGGCAGAAGAGGCAGTTTCCATGAGGTTGGGCCTGCAATGGGCCGTGGGGTTGGACATAGCGGGCAGGCCCGGATCGCTCAAATCAGACCCTGATGGGCTTCCAGGGTTTAAGTGGGCCGCGCCGACGCTGGCGGATCTTTTGAGAGGCCGAGGGTCGTCGGGACTGACGGCGGAGCATTTTCTCTTGAGGGTGGAATTCCAGTGGTTTTTGACGGCGTTATCGGTGCGGCCGTTGAGCAAGCGGGCTATGGTAGCCCACTTGTTTCCGAACGTGGAGTGGGCCCTGACGATGGCCTCGTCCTCCTCCGCCGAGAACGGACGGTGCTCCACCTGCGGAGAGAGCTGGTTGCACCACCGCAGCCGGCACGATTTCCCGGATCGCCCCGGAATGGACTTGCTTATCAGCGACCAGTTCCTCGGCCCGTGGGCCTGGACCAGCCTCTTGAGCGCCTCGTCCTCTTCCGGGCTCCACGGACCCTTGACCCGATCCATCATTTCTCTGCTTCCCGACGCCATGTCAACAAAGCAGAATCATGTAAACGGGAGCGGCAGTTAAAATTAAATTGGAAAATAAAATTTGAGAGGCTGAGAGGGAGAGGGAGAGGGAGGAGGCTCCTTGTGAGTGTGAGAAAAGAGGGTGGGGTTTGGGAGAAATAGAAAACGCAAAAGGTGATAAGGATGACCGGTTGGGCCGGTGCTCATTTGATGCCACCGGTTGGGGCGGTTGGCGAAGCAGTTACTAACATACAGCTGGCAAACCAACACGCGTGGGAGTTGGAGGCTCCTTGCGGTTACACGTAAGGTCACTCTATCGGTGCTGCCTCTTGTTAACTTTCTGTGTTATCGATAACTAATTAACTAATCTTCTTAAACTCTTGAATAAATTGAATTTAAAAATATATATAAGAAAAAAAAAAAAAAGAGAGAGAGAGAAACCAGCCACCAATAGAGAAGATAATTCACGCATTCATTCAGGAATATCTTCTCTTTATTGACTGTGACTGTTGAACCGTTGCTATATCTAATTTTATCTTCATTTAAACCCTAGACAAAACGGTAATCTCCAATTTCAGCCGTACCATGATTAAATCAATTTGACTAATTAACTAATTTTAAAACTAAAATCATGCCACCAAACAACTGACGATGGGAAATAATTGCAATTGGAAATATACAGTACATATCTACGATGGTTTAAGGAAATTACACGACTTGATTTAGATTGTTTAAGAAATTATTAAATAAAATCTTTGAAATTGTAAACACGAGATATTTAATAATTCATCATTTTCCCCCTACTTTTAAGTATAAAATTAGTTTTAAAAAAATAAATAAGTGTCAATTTTGTTTCTGAAAAGTTCTTAACGACTTAAATTAGTCCTTGGAAATATTAAAGAAAATGTTTTACATTTATGATCTTTAAAGACTGTTTAGTTGTTTTCTGTTTAAATAAATTGAATCAAATAATTTTTTTGAGAGATCAAATCATTTTACTCTTAAAAGTTAAGGGTTTTTGCTGAAAGTAAGACAGCTAATTACAGTTACTAATGTTTTTTGAAATCTAAAATTAAACATTAAGTTGAATGACTGTGTTTAATGTTTTTTTTCTTCTTCATTACACTATTAATAAAGATAGTATAAAAAAAATTGTTAATATAATTGTTTCGAGACTTATATTTTTTAAACCACCTTCCAATTTGAAATGTAAATATTATCTATGAAAAGAAATTACAACTTCTTATCAAATAAAATAAAAATAATATCACTTTAATTTTGCTTTTTGAAACCACCTTCCCACCTCTGAAAAAGTTGTGATGCATTTGGTGGCTTATTTATGTTAGTTAAAACATAAAAATATCATTCAATATCTATATTTATATCTATAGCAACAAATATAAGTGATAAATTTGATTGAATTTCACTTTTTGAAAGAAAGTTTTGTCCATCAACTATATTAGTATTATAACTTGTATAATGCATAAGCTTAAAAATGTATAATAAATTATATATATATATATATATATTTATATATTTAAATATATAGATTATATTTTAAATTTATGATAAATAATTTATATTTTAGTATAAAATTAGTTTTATTTATTAAATTTTTATTTTAAAAATATTAAAATTTAATTCATAAATAATTATGATAAATAAAAATTAAATTAGATAAAATATTAAAAAAAAATTAAAAACTTCTCCTAAAAAAAAGTCCTTAATAAATTAATATATAGGATTTGATTAGATCTCCTTCCATGCATAGAAAAATTATGTATACAAAAAATAAATCACCAATAAAAATGTAATCACTCACTCTCTTCTAATTCAATATAAAATGGAGAAAAATTATATACACAACAAGATAAACCATCAATAAAAATGTAACCACTCACTCTCCTCCCATTCAAAATAAAACTTCATGAACCGCATACAAAAACACGAATAACCTCTTTCTCATACTAATTATATATAAGAATAATTAAAGTATTTTGTGAGTTTTTCTACCGCGAAAGTATTTTATGGACTTTTTCTTTAATAAAAAAGTTTTAAGAATTTTTTTGAACCACTTATCTATTTTAATTAATCTTTTTCATATTATTTTTATTTAAATTTAAATTTTTAAATAAATTATTAATAATCTTCTCTAAATTAAAATAATCATTTTGAACAAGAGAAATTTTAAGACTAATTATTCAATGGGAGCATTTATAATTATTTTTTCTTTGACAAAAATATTTTAAGAAATTTTTTTTATCATTTTATATCATTTAATCTATCATTTTTATTTTATTTTTAAATTAAATTAATATTTTAGTTTATACAATGTACATGTTACATTTTTATTATATATGTATATATATAATTTAAAGTAAATTATGTATATAAATAAATATTATGTTTGAACATATAAATTATATATAAAATTTGAATAATTAGAAATTTTAAATATATAAATTATATTTATAATAAATAAAAGGATAAGATGAAGAAAAATTATGTACGCAAAAAATAAATCACCAATAAAATTGTAATCACTCACTCCTCCAATTCAAAATAAAACTTCATGCAAGTGCGGACAAAAACAAGAATAACCATTTTCTCTTACTAATATATATAAATTTAGGGATGGCAAAATGGGGTGTCACTCGTGGGCCAGTTCATTGGCCCGCCAAAAATTAGCGGGTCGGGCCTATCATTTCAATCTGCCAACCTACCAAACCCGCTAACCCGTTGGGTCAAATGACGAGCTGGCCCGTCACAACCTGCCAACCCACATTAGTAATTGGGGCTTTAGTTGCTTGCATAAGTAATAGACTTGTTTTGTGGACTATCAAAAAATTTAGATTATTAGTTTTGTAAGTTTATAATTTGGTTTTAACATTATCTCCCACCACAATTAAAACGATGTTTTGTTTATTGTTCATTGTATCCTAAGGATTATGAATTTCAAAAAAATGAATTAATCTTATTATGGATGGCTGAAGATCTTTTAAAGCCAGGAAAAACAGGAAAATCATTAGAAGAAGTTGGTTGTCAGTATTTTGATTATCTGGTTTCAAGATCATTTTTTCAACATTTAAGAAATAAGACATCGAGCAATGATTTTGTGATGCATGACCTTATGCACGATCTAGCAACATCCCTTGGACGAGAATTCTATTTGAGATCAGAAGATATGGGAAAAGAAACCAATATTGATGTCATTCGTCATTTGTCATTTACCAAATTCAGTCATGCTGTCTTTGACAACTTTGATGGAGTAAAATTTTTGAGAACTTTCTTGTCTATCATCCATTTTGAAGGTGCTCTATTCCATAATGAGAAGGCACCATGTATTATAATGTCAAAACTTTTGTACTTGAGAGTTTTATATTTTGCGACTTCCAAAGTTTGGATGCTTTGCCTGATTCAATAGGTAAATTGATCCATTTGCGTTATTTAAATCTATCTTATACAAGTGTAAGTGGACTAATTTCTATTTGATTTTGTTCTAAGTTTGTAATTTGCTTTTGTTAAACATATATTATGTACAATATGTATGAATTTTTAATTTTATATAGTTATATTTATTTATTTGTAGTAGTTTTTTTTTATTTGAATATAAAATATATTTTTTTCCATTTCTTTTGCAATTTTTTTTTGTGGTATGCGAGCAAGCTCGCCGACCTGCCAGCCTATCCTTAGGTGGGGCGGGCCAATGTTTCCAACCCGTCTTTCATTGGTGGGTCGGTCCGGCCTGGCTCTTTTTTGGCAAGTCGGGCAAAAACGAATCGGGTTGGCCCGTTTTGCTTACCCTATATAAATTAGAATAATTAAAGTATTTTGTGAGTTTTTCTTCAGCAAAAGTATTTTATAGAATTTTTCTTTAATAGAAGAGTTGTAAGAATTTTTTTGAACCACTTATCTATTTAATTAATCTTTCTCATATTATTTTTAATTAAATTTAAATTTGTAAATAAATTATTAATAATCTTCTCTAAATTAAAATAATCATTTTGAACAAGAGAAATTTTAAGACTAGTTATTCAATGAGAGCATTTATAATTATTTTTTCTTTAATAAAAATATTTTAAGAAATTTTTTTATCCTTTTATATCATTTAATCTATCATTTTTATTTTATTTTTAAATTAAACTAATATTTTAGTTTATACAATCTACATGTTACATTTTTATTATATATGTATATATATAATTTAAAGTAAATTATGTATATAAATAAATATTATGTTTGAATATATAAATTATATATAAAATTTGAATATTTAGATATTTTTAAATATATAAATTATATTTATGACAAATAATTTATAATTTATATAATAGCACAAAATTATTTTTATTTATTAATAATTTTTTAAAATATTACAATTTAATTAATAAATAATTATAATAAATAAAAAAGTAAATTAAATCTATAACAATATATAAAAGGGATACCTGTGACACCCTCTACCCCAAAATACATGTACAATAATTACTAAAACATATTCTTTGGGTAATAAAATCTTTTGAATCAAAAGAATGATTCCACTAACATGAGGGTAGAGAATTCACATTCATAAATGTAAATCATGGTCAAATGCAAAATTTACAAGAAAATGAAACATGAGTTTTTTCAAAACAAAATAACAATAATGAAATCCTAAACTAAGCCTAACTATGTCTCGATGTCACATATCCTATCAGAGCACGTCCAACTGAAGCCTAAGCCTCATCACCAACATCCTCATGTTGATGATCACCTGCAACATAATTTAAAAACATACAAGGGAGTGAGACACACCTCACTCAGGTTCAGGTGTAGAAATAAAAGTTAGACAACACACACACACAACAAACATAATACAAGGCACAAGCACAAATCACATATAAACAATACACATACACAATTAGTATCACATGCACATTCATCTATCATGTAATGATGTCATAGACTCGACTCATAAATCCATGCATGTGGCGTCAGTCACGTGTTTCATAATCACATGTCACGTGATATGATGCCGAAGCAACATACCTAGAGTAGTCTATGAGTATAGTTCGGCTCAATCATGCACTCTCAACTAGAAGGATGTATTGCTAGGGTCTCGTCGGGATAGCGAAATCGTGCAAGATACGTCTCATGCACACAAACG